GAGTGTAAACTGCAGAGTCCTGGCCTGTAGATGAGTGTAAACTGCAGAGTCCTGGCCTGTAAATGAGTGTAAACTGCAGAGTTCTTTTGACTGTTTTGTTTCCCCAATGTATAACTGATCACAGTCCTCCTGACACTTAACATATACTATATTACTCTGTTTTTGCAGGGGAACTGGATCTTTGGGGTGAACTAACCTTTGTTGTAACGTGTTTTGGGGTTTGAAAGCCACTGGGACGTCATGTTTAGAGAATAAACGTCTCAGTTTCTCTGAAACTCCTGCCACATACGGAATGACGACAGGTTTGGGTCTGGGTTTAGGGTCTTCATTTTCAGCTGGTTGTTGGCTGGAATCCTGTTTGGGTTTCTTGTCTGCTTTCAGAARAGCCCAGTTAGGATAACTGCACTGCTCCAGGGCCTGTCATGTGTGTGATTTCTCTTTCTCCCTGGCTCCTGTATTTGTAGGGACACTGTCTGCTCTGTGGTACAGAGTYCTGATGACTCCTAACTTGTGTTCCAGTGGGTGGTGGGAATCAAAAAGCAAATACTGGTCTGTGTGGGTGGGTTTGCGATACACGTCAGTTTGTGTTTTTGTGGGTCAACTTGTCTAAGACGCATAAAGACAAGCCGTTTAGCGAATTAGAGCTTAGCAGGAGAAGCGACGGAGTGACAATGGTTCACTTACTCTCCTGAGAGGAGGTGGTCAGGTGCTCCAGCAGATCACATCCAAACACCTTCTCCTTGTTGGCCCCTTTTCTTCGCACCCTCCTCATCTCTTCCTGCCTGCAGTTTCCACTTCACATTCAGTTTGTGGCCAGCAGGCTTTCTTTCTTCTTCTTCTTTTTTTTCCTGCTCGAACGTGTCGACCGGCTCTCGTTACTGTGACGAGGACTTCGTGGAGCTGCTGCACATTTCAGAGGCTTCGCCGTGACGCTTCTGCTGCTTCCTCTGTGAGCGGCGTCGCATCGTAAAGCTGAAGCCTTCGAGGTCTGGGTTTGCCTACCTGCAAAAGCGGACACAACGATGTTTTACTAAATCAAACAGACTGCACTCGATCCTTAGTCTGCATATGTGGCTTTCCACTTCCCCCTGATGCACTCAATTTATTTTCGAATAACAGGCCACACCCTTGCCCCGGTACTTCTCCTATGCAGTTATATATTTGTCTAAACTATCACGCTTGTCACTTTTTTTGAAGCATCTTTGAGCTGGTGGGCCACCTGAGACCTCTAATCCGGCCCCTTCATCCCTGGCCCCGTCTGCCCTCCCTGTCCACATGTCAGGGCCATCGCAGGCCCTGTTCTCACTGGGGCGGAAGTCGAGCTTGAAAATACAAAACCCAGGCAAACATTTGAAGTCTCACCCCCCCCTACACACACCCCACACACACACACACACACACACACACACCGTCTCCATCTTCCTGCCACCTGCCACCAACCTCCCATGTAACCCACCCGTCCCTCTCCCAACGTCTACCTGCGAGGGACGGTTTAAAAGAGCAGAAAGGTGAAACAAACAGGTTAAAACGCGAGTCTTCCTACCTCCAGCCTGCAACAGCACACAAGAAGCAGCAGAAAACGATGACGCAAAAAAAAAAAAAAAAACCACTGAACTTCCCCTGTTAACTTCCTGAGTGTCTCTCCTTCTCTTGTGCTTTTTCTGTGCATGTCGCTCACAGTTCCTCCGCCTCTCACCGAGTAGGGAAATCAGTTCAATATATCTGCACAGAGCATCTATTTCCCTTTATGAATGTTTGTGTTAGTCGCAGCCCTGTGTCATTGATTCGCCCTGATGTAAGAAGAAGTGGACGTGTTCGAAATGTGTGACACAAAGGCCGACGACGTGACCTTGTTTCTTTTCGCAACTTGAATTTTTTTTTATTAAATATCAACACCAGTCGTTTAAAAATCTGAAGGAAAACCAGAGTTATTATTACAAGTGATCAGAAAGTAGCAGCAAAGCTACAAGAGCCAATGTTTCAAATGACCTGTGTGGCAGTTTATGKCCTCACTACTGATTTGGTAACTTTTTATGTGATTACATCAAACTGATAATTTCACAATAGCAAGTCGGAGTTTCAGATTTCCAAATAAAAAAAGTAGCATTTAAAGATGAAATATTCACTTTTTCTGATTTATTACCACTTATTTCCCTGGATAGGGATATAGTTTAATAATTTCTAATGTCAATGTTCAACACCTTATTACTCTGTTGCCTAGTTTTCTAATAAAATATTAAGTTATTTTCAGAAAGCTCACCATAATGAATTAATAAACCAACAAATGTATTTTTAGGAATAAAGATGTTAAAATCCATCTATTTGTTTAATAATAAGGTTTTAAAAAGGCAAGGGTGGGTGTGTAGGTTCACCTTTTCAGCTAAAATACTGTAAAAACGTTACCAGTTTTTGCAACTCTGTGCTGTGCAACTGGTTTGTATATGGTAATTTGTTAACAATTTCACTTTGAAAATCATGTTTTTACAACTTTTTTTAGTTTAACTACTAGGTTTTACTACTTACTTAAGTAATTACTTAATAAACAAACAAATAAACGAACTTTCTACAGTATTTCTAATGTTCTCGTCTCTGTTAAGTGTTAGTAAAACCTGCATAGCTATGTACTGTAATATGAGTTTTAACACTAGCCAATAAGATATTAGTGACATTGGCCAAGCTTTATCGAAAATTAACTTAAAAATATCACGTTTAACATCGTGTTTTAATACATTTAAACACGAAGTATGTGTTTATCCAAAGAAATATCACGACTTACTTGAGGAAAAGCTTGTTAAATGCATTTTAGATGCAAAGTTTGTTACGGAAAATAGCATCCGTGTCACGTTGCGCTTGTATACTAATAATTACGGTAACATCTTGACGTCACTTTCGAAGATAAACTTGATTTGTTTATCGGTACTTCTCTCTGTAGGGGAAATAAGCCTAATTGACGATTTAAAATGTATATACACTTTTTAAACTTATATTTATTGTGTGCGAACRTCGTATTTTTCCAAATATAGCAAAATGCAAATTATTAGCAAAACGAAAAAAACATGCTCAAATATAAACCCGCCCGTGCGGACCACAAACGTATAGAAAGCAAACGACTCTCTTGTTTTGYTGTCAGTGGTGGAGGACAGAGCTACAAAAACACACCTTCTGCTCGTGAAACTGGAGGAAAATATATTCCTAACCGACGATTTGAACACACCCAAAGTATCAGCGAGTGAAATAAAGCACACGCAAACGTGAGCAGCTGATTTTATTTGCGTTTTAACGGGTGAAAAACATGGAGAACAGCAGCTTCCAGAGCCAGCTGCTGTCCGTCATGGAGGTCCTGGCCCAGGCCGCCGTGGCGGAGATAAACCGGCGCGTGGACGACAGCTGCGCGGTGCTCCGGGTGGAGCTGAGCCAGAGCCGGAGGGACATCGAGCTGCTGAAGAGCAAGTACGAGGAGATGGAGGCCGAGCTGAGGAGGAGCAGGAGGCGAGGCAGGAGGACAGGAGGTGACGCCTCCACCGGAACACAAACCGAATAACTTGACCTAATAATGGGGTTTTCACCGGCTTGTGTTTTATTTTGCAGCTGGTGACGTCCCTGCGGATGAGAACTGTTCATCTAAAGCTGGTCAAAGTCAGAGCTCAGACTGGGACACAGAGATGGGAGCTGATTCTCCAAATCAACCCAAACAGGTAAAATATTCACTGTTAAATAATTTGTGATCCATTTAACCTGGATTGTGATTGATGCAAACTGCTTTTTATAAATTATATAAAGTGTTAGTAGTGCAATATGTCTTGTTATTCTGGATTGAATGTATTTAAAATGTGGTTATTGCCTAATAGTTCAGTTTAGTTCTGTTTATCACCCAGTTAAAGTGGGAATCACTGTTATTTTGTGTGTCAGAGGATGAAAAGCTTGTGAGTTTAGAGATAATCAGACAAATATGAAGCAAAAACCCTCGTTTTTTAACATCAGGAAYCAGAAAATGAACTTGGTAAGTTGAGTTTCTTGATAATTGTTGTAAAGATAAAGGTATAAATTGCACCAAAACATTYAGATCCTATGTTTTAGGGACATTCTTAAACAGCTTGTAAATGTTTTAACTAATTTTCACTTTATTTTAGTCCTATTTTACTTTTTATGGGTGTTTCTTTTATTTATCATTTATCATGATGTATTTGTAGTTTAATATCTGTAGTTTTGAATTTGGTAGTGTTTGTATGCTGCTGCCATCTTTGGCCAGGGTCTCTCCTGAAAAACAGATTTTTAATCTCAATGAGATCTATCTGCTTAAATAAAGGTTTAAACAAATAATATATATTTTCTGTTTGTTTCACATAAACCAGGTTCATCTGTCAAACCTGACAAAAGCTGAAATATAAGCTTTGTTCTGCTGAGTTCAACTCGTTACAAATTTTAGTTTTCATTTTCTTGCTTTCAAACATTCAAACCTATTAAACCAGATTTTAAATGGGTTTGTTCTTTCTTATAATAACATTTGTGTTATTTTGTTTCAGTGTGCAGACACGGGACCTGCTGATGAACCTGAAAACATACAGATCAAAGAGGAGTGTGCGGAGGACATGTGGAGGAATGACCCTGAGGACGAGCAGAGTGAGTGAAAACAAACACACACACGTTAACACACACACACACACACACACACCTACATGCAAATTATTTAATAAAGTCAGCTTCAATCAGGGGCGGGGCCACAGGAGCATTGGCCCCAGCCGAGATCTGATTGGCCCCCTGAAGTGCCCATCCTGTCACTCATCTGTCCTTTACCTGGGAGTGATGATGGTGGATGCAGTTCCATGTTCAAACACTAGAGGCGCTAATGAGTCACATAGTAAAGTCCAGAATGAATCAAGCTGACAGAATTCTTCTTCTTTTCTTAAAATGTGAACAATCCTGCAAAAAAMAAAGGTCTTTCAACTGACAAATGATGGCTGGACTTTCTCACATGTTCTGTGTTTGTAAATATTTTATCTTTGTTCAGTAAAATGAATGAAAAACTGGTGAGGAGAATTTACTGTGCAAGATTTTTGGTACCACTTTACAATCAAGCTCCACTTATAAAGAGTTTATAGATAGGTTATTAATTCATTTGTAAAGTTTACACTTCATAAATCATTAATAAATGAAACTAAACAATTTTGTCTCTTTATCGTCCTTAATTATTGCAAAATAAACACTTATTAATAATTTTCAAAGTGTTTACAGATGAATTAATCTATAAACTCTTTAAAACCATCTATAAGGGGGGGTGGATTTTTGTAAAGTGGTACCTTTTTTAAAAAAAATTACATTACATTACAAGTGTTTGAAGTGTAAAATGTATACAMTGGGAATTTGTGTGAAAGGATGTTGAACAAAGACTTTGGCACCTGTATGAATATTGTGGCCCCTTGATGACCCCTCACTCAGAAAAATCCTAGATCTGCCACTGGTACTTACAGTATTGAGTAAAAATGAGTGGTTAGATTTTCCAAAATGAAAGATTTTTAGAAGGTGACCTCTCCAAAAATGTATATTTTTAAGTGTGTTGAAGTGACATATTGTGTACAAAGTAATACAGTGTCAGAATAGTAAATATTTATACTTCTCATCCAACCACAATTAAATTCACTCCATCCAGGAGGCACAATTGATCAGGACAGTAAYTTTTAACAACAAGCTGGAATGAAATAGGAGTATCGACTTTCTACTTCTTACCTTTTTAAATATTTATAAGGAGTAGAGGGTTCAGATAACTGTGTAAAAATGTAARGAGTGAAAGTAAAAAGTCGGCTGAAAATATTTACTTAGGTAAAGTACAGATAACCAAAATTTCTACTTAAGTACAGTAACAAAGTATTTGTACTTGCTACTTTACAACTCTGACTATGAGTCATAAAAATGGACACAGCTCTTGTTTTTGTCATACAGGTAGCAGATAATCTTTGGAAATGACCCCTGCACCCCAACAMAATSCCTCAGAGAACATGATYATAAGCCTTCAGGCTCACAAGCATGTAAATTAAATAAATTGCAAGGATTTTCTATAAAAATCAGATAAAGGACTACTAATGAATGTTTTGTTGCTGAATTATCAATTAGCAGACTTTTTATTTACACAGAAAAAAACAGTTTTTMTAGATAGTAAGTAAACACTTATTGAGTGTTGTTAAAAGGAAAGATGATGTAACAGTGGTAAACATGACCCTGCCTCTGCTTTTTTGGAACAAGTTTCAGGCATAAAATTCAGTCAGTGAACATTTGCAAAAAAAACAATAAATGTACCTGTTTGAACTTCAAGGTCGTTTTCACGTCTGATAATCCAGTAGACTTGGTTTGACTGGGGAGAAACATCGCAACATTTATTTATATTTTTAGTTGGTGTGGTTTGCTTTCACACTGCACTCTGTCAAACAAACTAAACCTGTTGAAGTGCGAGAAGGGATTCAAACATACGGGAGACCTGACGGCTCATCAGCGTGTCCACACTGGAGAAAGACCGTACATCTGTGACCAACGCGAGAAGGGATTCAAAGAAATTGGAAACCTGAAAGTTCATCAACGTGTCCACACTGGAGAGAAGCCTTACTTTTGTGACTTGTGCAACAAGAGATTCAGACAAATTGCACATTTGAAAACTCATCAGCAAAGCTATCCACACTGGAAAAAAGCCTTGCTTCAATGAACCAGGACATTTGAAGGCTTGAAGTTTAATTWAAAAAAATGCATAATAAAGCAACAKTTTAAAAAGTGYATACAACRTGCTTTGCTTGATAAATATTTTGTTAAAAACTGAAAAAATACAAATACAGCTGAGTGTTTCTGACAGTATGACTTTATATTTGGCACATTGAGCCATTGGGTTTTGCCATTTCCYGAAGACAGGTAGCTTCAGTTTCTTGGAGGGTCTCACTAATGTACAGGAACATTTACATCACAACAAATACTCTTGATGTCTGAATTTTAACCACACCGTGCCTAAGCTTAGAGTCATTGTAACACTGAATGGTACACCCTGTCAATGAAAAGCATGATGTTGCAGTACAGAGATGATTGTATCACAAAGATTGACAGAAAAATGACAGAAAGACAGGACAACTTGTTTGGCAGTGTTTTCAGTAGAAATTAACTGGTTTGTTTGGTTTGTTCTCTCTCCAGTGTTTGCAGGTCAGGAGCAGSCATGTTTCAGTAACACACAACTCGCTCAGACTGAAGGATTTCTGGAAAGCTACCGTTCAGCTGAAATCCCCGACTCTCTGGTTCCTCCAGCTGATGACTTCAACACGTTCCCAGAGCAGCAGCTTCGTGAGGCGGAGCTCGTTGTGAAAGATGAAAAGGCGGAGGAGTCTGCTGAGAGCTCTGCGCGGCTCCCTTCAGGACACACGTTTGTGACGGAGGAAGCCGAAGCTCCGCTGTGGTCCACCAGTCTGTACCGAGACGACCCGAGGGTCTGCTACCCTGGGCAGCAAACTGAGCGGATTCCTTCTGTGTTTGCGTCTCAAACCAGCCTGCGTTTGGACCACATCGTGACTAAGATCCACCCTGTGGTGAAACCTCACGCCGTGCTTTTGAGCGCAGCGAGGGCGAAGAGACGGGCGAAAACGTTTGCGTGTAAGAAACAAACGGACGAAGGACACGGCCTTTTGTCTCGGCTCCACGCCATGAACTCCAGCCTGGTGGCTCAGCAGTCCCAGCGTCAGGACGGAGACGCGGCTGAGGAGGCGGCGTCCTCCGCCGCCCCCCTCTGCTGGCAGAGCCGCGGCGGCTTCGGCCCGGCCAGGAGGACGAGGACGTCCTGGAGGTCCGGCCTGGGCGAGAAGCGGTTCGGCTGCTCGTACTGCGACAAAACCTTCCTGCGGTTCAGCCAGCTGAAGGAGCACCTGCGGAGCCACACGGGCGAGAAGCCGTACAGCTGCGTGCAGTGCGGCCGCAGCTTCACCAAGCAGTGCAACCTGATCCGCCACGCCGTGGTCCACAGCGGGGAGAAACCCTTCGAGTGCTCGCTGTGCGGGAAGTGCTTCACGCAGCGCTCCAGCCTCAAGTCGCACCAGAAAACGGCGCACTGAGCACTCCGTCCATCGTCCTTCCCAMCTGTCACCGACTTTAAATGTTTCAGTAAAACTAGTTTATTCGTCACGTCTGTTGGTTTTATCGTGATAAAGTGTGGTTTAGTTTCAGATGAGCCAATTTGAAAATGTAAAAYCACAATAAAGACCCTCAAAAGGTCGTGATCATGTTAGTTTCAACTGTTTCAATGAAAAGTAGTGCAAATAAAACAGTTTGGTCATTTTAAAAAATCATTTCTAGAATATTTTGAGACATTGTTTTCTGGAGCTGGTTATAAAAAAACAGAAACAACTCGGAAAACTCAGGTAATCAGTTTGTATTCAACAGGCAAGGTGGCACAAACCTTTTACACAAAACGTACAAAAGGTAAGACATCAAATCATTTTTATAAATATCAAATTAGATACTTTATCCTGTAAAACCTGGAGCTAAAAGTTGCTTAGAAAAGTAGTGACAGGAGCTTTTATTTATCATATATTAAAGAAAAATGAGAAAGTTCTGGTTTGTGAGGAAAAAGTGAAGAGCTGCAGGCAAACAGGAAACAATATAAAACGTGTTTTTATGAGTTAGTTTGTACACAGATCTGTTCTGTCAAACATTTCAAACCTTTTAATACTTAACATGAAACGGATATTAAATATGAGGAAACCTTTCAGTGGAGTGTAGAGCTAAATGTTTCCACATATAAAAGAAAGAAAATCTGTTTTTTATTCTTTAAATGTTCTCCATAGAACTGGATTAATTAAATACTGATCATTTCAGACCATTTTTATTCTCCTTACAGAGCAGAAAACCCATCAGTCGGTCCTCTGAGAGGAAAAAAATAAACATTAGTTTGAGATATTTTTAAGATTTTCTAAGATTTTGAACCTGCTGCATTCAATAAAAAATAAATTCATTTAGAACAGTTCTTTCCTTATTCTCTTAAAGTTTCAGTTAACAGAAGAGTTTTACAAATCGTCGTTTGGATTTTTGATATTGCATCATTTTAAATTCATCTCAGCTCAAAYGTCTCGAAATAAAACATAAAATTCTGTGACGTTTAGTAAAACAAAGACAAATCTGTTTTATATTATAACACTGTTTCAAGAGATGATTCATTGTAAAAATTACATTCCATAATCTATTACTTTTATCAGATGCCTAAATTTGTTTGCAATATCCACAACCTCAATTTTTGTTTTTWCAAAATATGTTTTATTTGTAAGACGAGGTTTATTGTGCAGAAGTTTCACTTTGTGAGGTGGATTTTATTACAACTCCAAAGCTGAATCAGTTATGTTGAGTACAATGTGAATAAAAACCGAATGAAATTATTTGCAAATTTCATAAACTCGTATTTTATTCTCAACAGTTTTAATGAGCCTACTAAGAATTTGAAAGTTTAATATCTTAAAACTGGAATTAAAACGAGTTTATTAGATTTGCAAATCGTTACTTTTGTCTTTATTTACATTTTTATCTAATTCCAAACCATTTTAAAATTGAGGTTTTATAATAAATTGTGCTTTGGATCCATTTTTCACCATATTGTGACTAAAAATTGCAAATAAAGGTTTGTTTTTACTAAATCCTGACATGAAATTTAAAAGTAATCTTTGTCTTTGCTGTTTTGAGTAATTGTGAAAAATTGTTTTAACAAAAAACGTGCAAAAATACCCTAAAGAGTTCATGAAAACGGTGCAATAAATGATGTGTTTTGACCTAAACGAACAAATATCACAAAACAATTTTAATTATCCCCTCCATATTCACTGCTGCTGTTAAAAAGCAGATTTAAAGTGTTAAAATGTTCAACTGCTGCCTTTTTTGTTTTGTTTTTTTAAACTTGAGGTTTCCAGAAAACGTCGAGATTTATTCATCAAGCGTGTTTTTCACAAACAGTTATTTTAAATTAAATGTAAATATCAATGCAACATCTGGTTAATCAGAAAAGAAATGGTCTTTTTTTTTACATTAAACAAGGAAAATATTCTAACACACTTCTGATTTTTAAACTCACACAACACAAGGGATTTCAAAGACAAGACACTTTCAAGGAAAAAAAAAATCTACATCTCACAATATTAAATATAAACATTTTTCAGAAAATAATTTTTAAGCAGAGTGAGGGTAAAAAGCTTTTTGTGCTAACCGGAGAGGGTCAAACCTGGTGATAGCTTTGAAAAATAGTTATTTATCTAAATCAAATATTTATCCAAAATGTAATACATTCACTTGAAAGATTAAAAAAAAAAACAAGCGCCTTCTTTGCGTGTTTTTTCTCCAATCTTTGACCGTCTCTGAACCCAGAGTCCTTTCCTTGTTTGTGTGTTTCACACGGGGCACGCATCTCTTCCTCTCTCCCGTTTCTCCTCGTCCTCCCGGCTGCCGGAGCAGTCCATGGCCTCGCCGCTGTCCGTCTCGCTGCCGGTGAGCATGGGAGACCAGCTCTCCCGGCTCGTCTCCTCCGCCCTCCCGTCCTCCGCCTCTCCGTCTTCGTCCCCTCCCCTCTGCCTGCAGAAAGGCGGGATCTCCACCACCACGTACTTCTTGGCCCAGCCGCTCAGCACCGCCTTCTGTCGGACGTCGTTCAGTACCGAGGCCGCCTCGGGCTTGGAGTTTGTGGCTGAGGAGAAGGGAAAGGGAAAAGAAAAAAAAGAATCATGGTCCGTTTTTAATGAAGGCGGGGCTTCTAATAATCCTCTAAAAGGAAACAGGAAGTCGACTCATCGATTTGACAAGTGCAGAAAGAGGAAAGTGTTTAAAAACACGTTTGAACATATCAAGAGGACAATTTGATAAAGATGGGATAAATGGCTCTTTAAAGGGATTTGGATCTTGAGGAGCCGTTCGTTTCATAGAGCTCTAGAGACTCCGCCTGTTTTTCATTAAAAAGGCAAAGAAGGAGCGATTTAAGGATGAAAAAAAAAAGATTATATGAGGAATAAAAAAATAAAACTACAAACGGCTCTTTACTGCTCATGACTCAGCTCCTGTTCTTTGTAAAGAGTTCAAAAGATTCGGATCGTTCGTGAACGTCACATCTCTACAATTTGGTTTATTTATTTTTTAAACTAAGCTGCTGTATCATCTTCATCTTCTCATTTAATAAATACACTATGTACAAACACGGCAACCAGATTTTTTTTTTTTTAAATTACCAATTTCTCTAATTAAGACCAAAATCTGAGAACATTTCCTTAACAAAAAACTACTCATCTACTCTTTCTTGGTGCTCTTCTTTAAAAAAATTGTTTTCAAATAACTTAAACACAACATTTAGCTCAGGCATGTTGAATGAAACGAGCAGTTCCTCAGTTTCTAATTGAATGACACTTTATTGATCCCATGAAGGGAAAATACAGTTACTATTATTACTATATATTATTATTATTACTATAACCATTCAGGTGTGATCAGAATCAGTAAACCTCTCCTTCAGTAAACATCATTCATCTGAAAATAAAACTGGTACTTGTGGATTCAAACAGGTGTGTCTGAATAACGTAACAGTGTCAAAGACATTTAAAAGAAACAAGCTAACCCTGTCGGCACATAGACTTTATGTTTTCATAATTCAGATATAAACAGACAATAAGACTCAGAAGCTCCTCTCTGGAACTGGGAATGTTAACTGAGCTCACCTGGAAGAGTGACGGACAGCTGGCTGGACGAGCAGGTGACAGAGCCGTTGTTGGCGGCGCAAACGGCCGCTGCGAGGCTGAACGTGTCGGAGCGGGGCAGCCGGGGGGACACCGGCAARGAGTGACACTGCCTTCCCGGCAGCTGCTGCCAGTAAAACGACGCCTCCTGCTGGGCTCCTCCGGCTCCGTGGGCGGACGCCGGGTAGCTGAAGACGCTCCCCGGAGGCGAGTGCAGGTCGAACACCAGCGAGAAGACGGACTTGCTGGGAACGTCGTAAAACTTGATCTTGCCCCCGCACAGGTCCTCCCGAGCGGTGAAAGGGTTGATTTTACGAGTTTTGATGGTCCTCTGAGAGGTAGGGGGGTTGTAGTAAGGGTCCTGAACGTTGATTTTCCTTCCTGTTTTGCAGGAGAAGATGTCCGATTGGCTGCGACTCAGCCAAATGTTGCGTCTGGGTCGGGGGGATTTGGGAGGGATTTTATCATTCTGGCAACCCAGAGGGTTCAGCCGTTTAAAGCCCTGGATCTTCTCTCCTTTATTTAAAAGAAAGAAACCGAGAAATTACATTCATCCACTGAAAAAGCACAACTACGAGTTTAAGCATTTAAAATAAAGAGAGAATTTGCATTTCCTGTGAAAATGCTAGCTAGGTTTTCAGCCTCTTGCTGAAAACCAAAGTTTAATGCAAGTTCATTTAAAACACGAAGGAAGCATAAAAAGCTCAAAAATTACCAGAAAGAAGCACAAAAACACAGAAATTAGCAGAAGAATTATTAAAACAGCAAAAACAACTAAAATTAGCATAATAGGAAGCTAAAGGTAGCAGACACGTTAAAATATCTTACAGATGGTGAAAGTAGTGTAAAAAAAAAAGCAAAGTTAGCAGAAAAAAAGAAAAGTACAAAAATGTTGCAATTTGTTGTAAATTAGCTAAAACAGCCTGCATCAAAATGGCAAAAAAGTAGCTGAAAATGTTGAATTTAGCATAAAGAAGTAGGAGTACATGTTTGCACAACTTAGCAGAAAGAAGCTAAAATGGCTCCCAAAATGTGAATKTAGTTTAAAAACTAATATTAGCCAATAACAACTGAACAGTAGCGTAAAGCTGCAGCAAACAGCTGAAATAAGCAGAAAGCAACTGAAAGAAGCATAAAAAGCTCAAATTAGCAAAGACAAGCTGAAAGAACAAACAAGTACAATCCAGCAGAAGAATGGCAGAAAGAAGTAGAAAATTAGAAAGAAATAGCAGGAAAATGTTAAAAGTATCAATAAAAGAAGCTACATATAGCACAAGGAAGGTAAAAACAGCTGAACCAGAACAAAATGTGTAAAGAACAGTAAAGTTTTAAAAACATTTTGAAAGGTTTGAAGGATGTTGAAATTTTCAATGGGAAAATGTGGCCAAAAAATGTAAAATAGCTTAAAAAAATAAAATAAAACAAAAAAACCATAAATATCTGAAATACCAAATGTCATAGCCAGAATGTCCTGAAGGAGCTGAATATTTTGAATTGCTGAAATAGCACAGAAATGCTTGATAAGCGCACAACGAATAATTTTTAAGACCACTAAGTGGCAGCACAGACTATATGCTGGAATTGGAGTCTTAAATTTCTTTTAATCTGACATTTTGACACAATTTATTAGACATTAAGACACATAAAGTCCTTCTAGCGACTGTTCACAGTTTTTCTGTACATTTTTAAACTAAGCATAAAAGAAAATCTGTAAAACAAACCAATATACAAGTGATTTATTGTACTTTTATAAAAAACATACCTAAAAACTGGCATTTTTCTGATAAAGACAAAAAAAAATCTCTCTGAAAAACAAGTTACTGTTGTAAAACCAAGGTATTTCCTAGTATGAGGGACAGTGGCTTCAGGAAACGCTGATGTTATCAGCAGGAGAGGAGGAAGAGGAGGGCAGGGAGGAAGATGCTGACATAATGATTAGCAGCTAATGAGAAGTGGGAAAAGTCCAAACAAGAAATAAATCCTTTTTTTTAAACAGGAACGACACATGGAAGAACTTGATTTTGTCCGCAGCACCTCTGCAGCCGGYGGCGTCGTGTGTCGGTCGTAAAAGAAGCCGTTTGGCTCTGAACGAAAACACGACTCCCTGCTGACTCGCAGCTCGTCAGACACGCCGACTGACCAACACCCGACCGAATYAGAAGTGAAACCTCGACCGGCGGCGATCGAGTGTCACCACAACCAGAACGTTTTATCTCTAATGATCAGGTTTAAACCGAATACTTTACTTTCACTGCCCCCTTCAGGTRCTCTAAAAGTGAGTAGAGAAACAGATATTACCTCAGGATTTGACTGGAAATATCAACAACCTCAGAGGTAATGTTTAGTGAGGAAAGTTTAAACCATTTCCTGCACAAACATGTTTACACAGCAGGCTGTGCTGTCAGGAAGACCGTAGTGGTGAAAACAGTAACAGTAACAGTAAAGTCACTCTGGTTTCCGCAGGAATTTACAAGCATCTTCTTATAAACAAAAGGATGTGACTTTCATTGGCTGGAAGGCTCACAGCTTTATGTGAGCGTGCAGAGACGTTACCTTTGGGGATGGTTTTCTTCTCGTTTTCCCCGCTGAGCGACTCGCACTCGTGCTCCATCTCTGCAACTTTAAGGCGAGCGAGGATCTCCTCCAGCTGCCGCACGATGTCTGGAAATGAGGGACGGAGTTTGGGATCCATCTGAAGAGGAAAAACGTAAACAATGACTGAGAGCACGCCTCAGACACAGATAATTATGTGTCTTTAAAGACAGTAAGAAATGTCCGCTTCATTTGAAATAAGACGACCATGTCAAAGCATAGTTTTTCATTTGAGCAACAAAAACAATAATATTGTTCTCAATTTCCTTGCTCGGGTCTCAGAGGCTTCGCAGTTTTATTGCTTGAGATTTGTGCAACTAATTTTCTGAAAAGTATCTCAAACACGTCTCATTTTTGTCTTTCCTCTGGCAGACATCAGAGGCTTAAAACGCAGCTGTGCACACAAAAACAGAAGGCTAGCCCACAAACACTTCTCGAACTAACCTACGACATACCAAACAAAAACAGTCCTGTTTTATTCCTAAAAGAAGACCAGTCCTGGACGGAGGATAAGAGCGACAAGGATAATAAAAGCGAGACAACAGACGAGGATGAGAAGGGATAAAGGAGCCTATACAGGATCAATCAGCAGGGAGTGGAAAAGTCTTTAATGACTCTATGTGCAATTAAACTAAAAAACAAGAAAAAATATACTCTGTAACTCAAGTAACGTGATGAACGGGTGTTAAAAGAAAATCTAAAGTAGAAAAATATATATATATATATATATATATTTTTTTTAAACCACAAATGAATTCTGGACCTGTTACTAGAACAAGTGGTCCAGATTGCAGAGAACAACCCCTGCTGGATCAGATTAATCCGATAATCAGATTGCTCCTTTATTTAGGGAATAAAAGTTTCTTAAGAAATTAAAAATAAATCTTAAACCAACCCCTTCATAAAGCAAACGCCAAGACAAAGTTAATTTTTTTTCATAGTTTACACAAAACAAAACTAAATAATCCTCCCTGTTCCCCCGAGCAGCTGCTCCATGTCAGGAAGAAAGCATCGTTTCTGATTTGACACGGGTCGGACGGCAGGATGAAGGACTCACGTTGCAGCAGTTGAAGGCCAGCTGGAGGAAGTCGGGCGGACAGTCTCCGACCATGTGCTGGAACGTGTGATAGTCCAAGCCGAAGTTCTGCTCAGGAGGGCGAGGGCGGAGACACGCAGGGGTTTGATAAAAGACAAAAAGGAAAACGTCAACGAGCGACACAGGCCGGCTTCGTTACAAGTTTGACATCGTCTCAGTCTGCTGCTAAAAGATTCATGTAAGACTGATCYCTCTGGTTGTGATGCTTCCAGTATGGCTGCTTAAAACTCAGAACCACCAACTTGGCTTTACCTCTGAGCCGGACTTAAAGGTGCAAAACGTGAAAGACTTACAATGATTTCATCATTTTCAGTAATAAAACAGTTTTGTGCAGTTTTTTGAAGGTTTCTTTGGATGGTGGTTGTTTCTTATTTAAAGAGTAACTTACCCCAAAATTAACTTTTTTTAGCTGATAAACTGTCTAGAATGTGTCTAAAATGTTATATAGTACTGTTTTTGTGCTAGTTTTGATGTTTTTGTGTGTATTTGTTCAAATCTGTAATATTTGGTCTAAAAACGTGTTTTTGCTGCTCATATGGCAGAGCAGTGGTACTGCAGGCTAATTTGCATATTGGTTAA